AGAGTCCTTTGTTCCCTTCACTTGTGGTATTGGAACAGTTGGTAATCAGAGATAAATCATCTACTGTTTGCCTTAATTTAATTTGTCTTTCACTCCAGAGCAAGGTGCTCAGAATTGCTTGATAAGACAAATAAACAGAAGAACGTAAAATAGATACAAATATTAATATCCTCATTGGCTCCGGAGGAAGCAATAGAGCAGGTGTGTGAATAGAGCCTGGAATATTTTATTTACTCAGTAATCCGAGAAAGGCCGGAATAAAGTTCAACCCGAAATTGCATTCGGGGACTGTCTCTTGCAAGCTCAAAGTGCCTGACCCAAACCCCAAGATTCCAGGCTCAGAATTCAGTGTAGTGGGCAGTGATGATCAACACCCCATTCATTGTCTTTATGCTGTTTTGGTTACCCCTTTCCTCATAAAGAAGCCTGCCAGCTCTTGTGTGACCATCATCTATTCTGAGAAACTGAGAGCAAACTGGCTCTTAACCTTTGCTTCCAGCTTGTTGTTGTGCCTTCCCGTGCAATCGCATCACATCAAAGTGATGTAGCTGTTTGTTGGTTGTTTTTTTTTTCTAAAAGGTGTCATCATTGCTTAGATTATGACAATCTGAAATTACTGAGTCACCACCAACAGACATTAAGAATTACTCCTCAAAGTGAAGTTAAACTGAAAACACCATTAGCCATTGTTAAAGAAGAAAAAAAATCTCATCACAATATTGTATTTGTCCTAACGATTGGGCTGTGTCCCCTCAGCACCACCCTCTGTGTCTCCATAAGGAGATTACGCTTCTCCCTATGAAGTGAAAATTACCTTCTTGTGGGCAGAAAGCGTTTAATTATGACTCTGCTTCCCTTGTCTCCATGGCGATCCCGTGCAAACAGCCTGCTTTATTAGCCCTCATTTCCCCCACCCCTCCAAAGTAATAAATCATCCCTGCGGGGGCTCGAGCGTTCCCGGGGACCCCCGGCCGGGACTCGGCTCCGGCCGCGCCCCCCGCGCTCACCCGGCGAGCGGACACTGCGATCGCCGCGGGACGCGCTCCGCTCTAATCCCGTTTGGAGCTAAGCGGCTGCATCATTTCAGCACTTACCGCAGGAAATATGTTCCCAATCCCTGCCCGGCGAGCTACAAATTGGCGGATGATCCCGGCGCGCCCCCGCCCGCCCCCCGAGCGCCGCCGGGGCAGTTACCTGTGCGCTCCCCGGGGTCGGTGAGGATGCTGGGATCACTCTGCGACCTGCCTCGCGGGAGAAAGCAGCCGGTCCCTTCTTCCGATGCAGCCATGAGGTGGAGGGCGGGAAGCTCAGAGGAGGGGGGAGGAGGAGGCGCTCATGGAACCGGAGGCGGCCGGGGGACAATGGGGACGGGGGTGCGGCGGCGGCGAAGGGGCGTCAGCCGGGCAGGACCAGCCGCGGCAGCATCTTCCCCGGCGCCGTCGGCAGGGCTGCGGCGGGCGCTCCGCCGGCACGGGGAGCTCAGGGGGCAGCTCTGGGCGCCTCAGGGGGGTGGGCCATGCTGCCAGCCGGGGTGGGGAAGAGCAGGGGCGCGGGCCGCCGGCCCGGCCCCCCGCCGCCGCCGCCCCCTCCCGGGACGCCCCTTCCCGGGACGCCCCCTTCCCCGAGCGTCGCTCCCGGAGTCGCCTCAAGCAGCCGCGCTGCTGAGCGCATCCGTTGGAAAACATTGGGATTCTCCCATGGTGCCCCGCGAGCGGCCGTGTGACGTCACGGCGGGGGGGGTGGGCGCCGCACCTGCACTGCACAAAGGCGGGGGCTCCGCAGGTGCGCGGGGCCCGCCCCGACCGCCCCTCAGCGAGGGGGGCGTGGGGAGGGTCCGCCCCGCCCTCGGCTTGCGGGGGGAAACCCCCGGGACCCCCCGAGCCCACCTCGTCCCCACTCTCGGGGCGCTTCGCTGCACGACCCTCAGGCACCGCGGGGCTCGGGGTCTGCTGCCGCCTCCACCCGCGGCTGGAGGAGAAGGAGGAGGAGGAGGGTGTGCTGGGGAGGGTCGGAAAACGCCGGTTCCCCCGCGGCAGAACGCGCGGGGGTCGCACTGCCCGTGTCAGCTCCGCAGGGACCCCCGCGCAGCCCGGCGGGACCTTGTGCGGAGCCGGCGAGGTAGCGCTGGGCCGGGCGGTGGGCTCTTGGCTAAGGAGGTGTCGTACGGAAATACCCTGGGAAAACGGGGTATTCCACCTCGACTGAATAGCTCCGTTTGGGAATTTGTTTAAAGTGAGTATCTGGTTTCACGGGTTTTTTCTTTAAATGCAAGGTCACTCCTCCCCATCCTGCGCAACTCGGGGCTGCTTTGCTGATCCCGATGATGTGGGTCGTGTTTCCTTGGAGTTTTGACCTATAAAACACAGGGATACTTTTTAATCACTATCCCAGTACGGTACTGTAGAATGCTCAGATGGCATTTGGGATCGTGTGGGTTTCTCCCCTCGTTTCTTACGGCGGGGCAGTGCCTTAAACGCTGCGTTTGTCTTTGTACAAAACTGGTGCTAAGGAATACACTCACCGACGGCCTTAGGCTGACTCGAGCAGTGGTTGTATGTGAAGCTGAGCAAGCTCCTGGGGTTAGACAGGTATAAGTTTGCAAAATTTTAGGGATGGAACTTTGTGCCAGAAAAATTTCCATTAGTGCAGTCCCTCATTCACGTACAGAGTGACCGAGTGAGTGAGTGACGTTGGAAGGGAACACAGTGAGTCATCTGGTCCAACCTCCTTGCTCAGGCAGGGTCATCCCAGAGTACATGGCACAGGATTGTGTCCAGGTGGTTCTGGAATGTCTCCAGTGAGGGGAACTCCACAACCTTACCTGCACAATAAAGAAATTCTTCCTCATATTCAGGTGGAACTTCTGTGCACCAGTTTCTGCTCATTGCCTCTTACTCTATTACTTGGCACCACCAAGAAGAGCCTTGCTCTGCTTCTCCAGAAATACATGGAAAACATTTTGCTTATCTTTATCTAAAGAAAATATGCTTTAGCCATTTCTCAAAGCAGGTGCAAACAAAGCAGCTCTGTGGGGTCGCTGGGTGGGTTTTTACCCCACGTACATCCCATCTGTGACACTGAGAAGTGTGTTTGCCTTTTTTCTTTAAGCAGAAGTTTCAAACACCTTCTTTGTGAGTCACCTTTGGGCTGTGTGTCTCTTGAGGCTTGGTCAACGTAGTGGCCTTTTGGGGAAAGAAGAAAAGTCAGTGAGTCTGCATATAATGGTAGAGCTTGGTAAGAAAATTCTTCCAAGACTCCATTTGAACAAAGGCTGAGTGTGGCTGTTGGGGTAACCTCCACCCATGGCTGGGTTGAGGTGCTGCATCTAATGAGGGGGAATATTGCCATGAGAACAGAAACTGAACAAAAGGTTTAAAGTAAAATATCAAAGAGTTTCTCTTTCAATGAGAACTGTCCCCTATTGCTGTGTATAAGGTAGATCCTGAGGAAGAAGAAGCATGTGGTGGTGTAATCTAAGCTGTGCCATCATGCAATGGAATACATTACGGTGCCAAGTGAGATAATGAGCCAAATCTATGTTTAGTCCCAAAAAAAGAGAGGAAGTAGCAAGCTTTAAATGGTTTTTCTCCATAGAGCTTTTAGGTCACGGTAGAAAATGCTGATGGTTTCTCGTGAATTCTGTGGAAGTCTGTTTGCATTAATCCATATAGAGCTGCCTTCTGAGATGATAGATACTGATTTCTTTTTTAAAATGTAGGGTTGAAAAGCTCAATATCAGATTTAAACATTTGTACAAGATTGAATATACTAAAGTATTTTTCAACCCAAGAAAACATCTTCAAGACAGCTTCAGTAGCTATAGAAGCACAGCAGATGAGATGGATGTATTTTTAACCAGCTGACACACTGGTTGCCTCAATAAAGGACACTTTGCAGGGTTCTTTTGGAACAAAAACATTGTCTGGTAGAAAACGGTCAAACAATGCTGGAATCTGCCTTGCTGTTTTCACTTTTGATAAAGTGTTTCATTTTCTCTTCCTCTTGCCAAACCAGGCACCAAGAGACTCATTCTGGGAATAACTCCCAGGTGGGTTCCTGCCAGCTGAGGGAGCTGCTCCTGGGCCACTTTTCTCTTCCCAAATGAGCCATCATCATGTGTGGGAGAGGGGGTGCCAGAAAATAAAAAGTGTAAAATTATTTAAATCTATGGTGCTAACTCATCCTGTGTAAAAAGTCTGATTATCTGCATGTCTTTTACTTTCAAGTTGCGTGATGATGATGATGATGATGATGATGATGATGATGATGATGATGATGATGATGATGATGATGATGATGAATCTATTTGCACTTTTCACTACCTTACCTTAAAGTAGGCTCTGCATTCCTCCTGGAAGAGAGCTTTGGAGAGGAAGAATCTGTGTGAGGCAAAATCTGGTCTTCATGTTGAAAGACCAAAAGGAATGGAGCATTTTCACAGACTTAAATCAAAGCTGACAAAGGCAGGCACTAATCAGTGTATTCCAAGGATACTGATTTGTAAATCCCTCTGAAATTGGAATGAAACTAAGCCTGGTTCTTCCTGTGGGTACAAAGCACCTGAAAAATAGTCCTCAAGTTTCCATTTACTACTTGATATGATGTGTCACAACCAAAAATATTTGTAGGATCAGAATGACTATTAGTAGAAACATGACCATCTTTTTATTTGGTTTATTTTCTCACTCTAGCAGTCTTGTGGTAAACAAGTTTGCAGCGTTTTCCCAGAAAGTACAATGATCTGATATGTTTAGTTCTCTCTCAGAGGATTTCTAGCCTTTGATATTTATGATGAAAAGTTATGATGAAATTTTTCTAGCTTAGTAGCAGATATTTCTGCAACTGGCATCCATTCAGTTACAGGAAAATACTTCTTAAAATGAAATATCCACACAAGGAACACAAGAGGGAAAATAAAATTTATTTAATTATATTTATTTTGATGCACAAGGAAACCAATGCATTTCCATTTCATACAACTTTGCTTGAAAAAAACTTACAAAATGCAAGGATATAAATGGTGTGCATGGTTTGATTAATTTGTTTTTTCTCAGATAGCTGAATGCACAAGTTTTATGAGCTAGTTATATAAAGAAAAAACCAAACTTGTGTTAGAAAGGAATGATCCCCTGAGGAGAAAGGAAAGAGGTGAGTCATGTCAGTGCTGTTTTTTTTCGAATCAGCAGAATATTAAAACAACCTCATTTTCATTAGTCTGAAGCTGCACGTGACCTCTGTGCAGAACTGATGTTTCTTTTCATGTTGTTGTTTAGAAAAACGAATCCAGGATGCATTTGGATTGCCAATATCAGCCTTCATGTTCAAATTATTCTGATGGCCAAGGCACAAATAGCCCTGCTAGGAGCAGTTTCTTAGATGCAGCAACAGAAAGCACTTGTTCTGTTTGTGCTTGTCTTAACCTAGTTTTTGAGATTTTTCCTGCCAGCTCGCTGTAGTTCAGCGTGCTCCCCGTAACAATAAAGAGGACCCTTCCCATGTTCAAAAGGCTCTTGTCTCTATTTATTTTGTGGTTTTAATGTTTTTTTTTTTTCCCCTCAGATGCTTTCTTTGTAAAGAGGCCACGGGGCCTATTTTGAGCCTGTGTTTGTCAGGACGATACGTGCGTGTCACTGAGAAGAGACGAAATGTCAGCCAGCACTCACAAGTTCGGCACTACAAAGACCTGAAACGTCTCCTCCAAAGCACGGTGCTGTTCTACTATGGCAAGCAAATAAAAAATGAATAAGCATCAGGCATTTGTTTATTGGTGGCCTCGTGTGCACACTCACACTGAAGGTCTGTGATGCTCCCGAGCTGTTGTAGGAAGCGCTGAGTTCCACACTGGCTTTGGGTCACAGCTCGCTCTGGTGTTTCACAGGGGAAGAAACAGGAGAGGAAGAGGTGGGGAAAAATGGAAAGGAAGACCATCAGAATGACAGAATGTGCCGAGTTGGAAGGGACCCACAAGGATCATCAAGTCCAACTCTTAGCCCTGCACAGGATCATCCCAAGAGTCACACCCTCTGCCTGAGAGTGTCGTCCAAATGCTCCTTGAGCTCTGTCGGCCTTGGTGCTGTGCCCACTGCCCTAGGGAGCCTGTTCAGTGCCCAACCATCCTCTGGGGGAAGAGCCTTTTTCTAATATCCAACTTGAGTTTGGATAACTTGTGCCCTTATCAGAGATGCCATTTCTCTTTATTATGTATTGCATGCAAACAGTACATTCTGAGTCAGAGCTCATCTTGCTGCCAAATCTGGAATAATTGTGACATGTAATTTTTTCAAATTAATTCAAATAGTGAAGATCATTCAGTTGTCAGCAGAAGTGGAAAGGGAAAAGTGTTCTGTGCTAATTGGATGAGAGCTGAGGAATCTTTGATGCAGTTGCAGGGCAAAATTCTGATTCAATTCATGTTGGCGTTTCAACATTTACTTCAATGGCATTTTGTTATCACCATCAGTTTCATTTCTTGGGTAACACAGGACTTCAGCTGCTGCTTCACACACTGACCATGATACACAAGAAATTTGGCTGTTGGCAAGTTAAAATACTCTAGGGGCCAGGGAAACATGAAATCAGTGACAGAGGTTCCTCCAGTAAGTCACAGTTTGCAGTTCCTGAGGACCTGAAATCTAGTGAAGATCATAATATTCAGAATTTATGAGCATCTCACAGAAGGTACAACCTCATATAACTGGGAGCTAACTTGGGCTTCAGTACACTGAAGGAAATTTAGGAAGTCTAGAGTTGATCAGCAGCTGAAGACAAGAGGATGAAAGACCAAATTGATTGGAACTCACAATAAACAAGGTCCAGGTTAGCAGAGCAGTATCTTTTTTGAGGCTGAAGTCGTGTATCACATGACTCCCCAAAAGTCATGGTTCCAGTTCCCATATTATTATTATTCCCTAATAAAACTCTTATTTAGTTTTATATCCATCAGGGATAGAGTAATCTTTGGGATGGTTACGTCCTCATTTAGGCAAAATATGTATGTGCATTAAGATCACTGCTGTGGGGGCTGTGCTTCTGCTCTTTTGCAGATGCAGAGAGTCTTTTTGAGAAATCATTCTTCAGCAAAGACTGAGCTAACTTGTTTTTCTGTTGAAGTGTTAATTTTTTGGACAGTTGTGTCATGACAGCTCCCCACCTGCTGTATTGCAGTTCAGGGTGCTGTTTCTTAATGGTGTCAATGCCATCTTGCTGCAGGCTTTGGAAGGTCAGGCTGCTCAGCAATTTAATCCCAACTCACCTGATGGACAGAGGCAGTGGTTGTTTCTCTGGGGTCAGTCCTACTGGTGAACTTCTTGCCTGAAAAGTTAGCCCAAGGCAGAATCAGATGGATCTTCTATTCCATGACTCAAGGCTGGAGACTGACACTTATTACAACAAAGTCAGAACCGTTTCATCATGGACATTTCTGTGCTATTGTAAAATGCACTTTGCTTCCAAACAGCAGTAAACTGTCATCAGGAGAACACCTTCAGACTATGCAGCTGGCATCTCATGTATTTTGGGATCAAACCCTTTAACATCTTTATCCAACAAGTACAGTGCAGATCTGGCCTGGCACACTCTTCCAGTGAGGCCAAAAGTCAGATGGTTTCTACAAAGAGTCCCGCTGTTTTCACTTGCCCCTTATATGAGCGTCTCATTTTTATATAATTGTGTCTTTCTAGGGCTGGACACAAAAAAATGCATTGAAAAGGAATTCCCAAGGTGAGTTTAATATCATCTGTGAACCACTCAGATATTTTAAGTCTCTCTCTCCTACAAATTACTTCTGCAGGGCCAAGTCCTTCAAGTTTCAAGGTCCACTTGCACAACTAGATTTTTGTTTTATTATTAACATGTAGTCTAAAAATGTTTTGTTCTAACCTAATGGGAAATATGGAGACTTGGAGCACAAATCTTTGCTAAATACGCGATTAATTATTTACAAGAATGAATTCTCAGTAATCTTCCTTGTCCTTTTTAAGCATGTGTGTTGGAGATGGGTGTCCATGCAGCTAAGGATTGCATGACCATGGTATTTATAATTAGGTAGGCATACTCTTGTTTAATAAATTGGCAAACAGGGGTTTTTTGCTGATGTTGTTTTTTTCTCCCCTCCCAGAAGGAATAAACTGGAAATAAGTCCAATTAGATCGGTCAGGGAAGATGCCAGTAGGTTTGCTGCTTCAAAATCATTCCAAAGTCAGGAATTATTTTAACATTTTGTTTTCTTTCTCCCTTGGCTTCATGGCTGTTACAAAAATTCTGTTTATTAATGCACCATGAACTGAAGCTGTCAAAACCAATCTCTTTCTCCATTTGTAAAGATGTTATATATGTGCATCTGAATGGTACAGTATGTATTTGTTAAATTTTCATGTGGGCTCCGACTGGATTTCCTGAAAAGGAGACCAGAGACACTGTAAAAGTGCCACAGCTTGTGCATTCTGCCCAGTGCCAGTGTCACCTACACACTGTTTACAGAGATATATCCAACTCCATAAAACACAGTCCCTGGGACCAGCTTTGGGTCCATTTTATATTACCCTTGGGATTTAACCTGCATTTTCCTATCCAGGGCAATGAGGAGCTCTGCTTAAGACCATTGGGAGCTCTATTTAATTATAATTGGCAGCCTGCAATCCTTTGTGCTGTCAAGGAAATCCTGGAGCTAATGGATGATGCTGCAGACCTTTAGTAGTGGTTTTACACTCAGCAATTTGTTCTTTATTTGGCTGAATAAATATCTGATGGAGCTGAGAGAATCCACTGAGGAAACACTGAGGAAATTCTTGCTGTGCCTACAAGAGAGCCACGGGAATTACTGAATTATTCTGAAGGGTAATTTTGCCATCCAGCCTTTATTTATGCATCTGAAGGAACAAATACGAATATATAACTTCTCATTAGTAAGACATTGTACAAGAGACTAAATCTTTAAGCCTTGATCCCACAAAAATACCACATTTAACATAATGTGAATAGTTCTTCTCCTTGCAGCTTGTGTTCTAGACTGGAATTTGTGTTTGGTTTTCCTTCAGGACTGATCCTTTAGTGCTATTCCAGCCGAGGGTGTTGTTCTTCCCAACATCTGACACACAACTCTGGGGTTTGCAGTTTCACTTACAAGGTAGGTTTGATGGATTCTTTTTTTCCCTCTGCTTTGAAACATTTGTATAGCTGTCCACACCCTTTCCACTCCTGGAAATCATACTGACGTGCTCCTTGATTTTATTATCTCCTTGGTTCACAAGGTTAAGTTCAACACTGCTGGTAGGAGAAATCCTGTTTCTAGGTTTTAGTGTTGTGCCACTCTGAAAATAATCAAGGGTATTTTTTTTCAGAGTACAGCTCCCTGCACTCCCACTCTGCCTTGGCACTGTCATGGAATGTGGGTCAGTTGTTGTCTGGGCTGCTTCATATTTCAGCACTATGGTTGGCTTGGATGCTCCCAGAATTTGCCTTTCCCCCAGGGCATTCTGACCTGTTCTATTTCTGTACTCAATACATACACCATGGAATTCTTAGAGATATTTGCCTATTTGCCTGTTGAGTTTTGAAAATGTACCTCTTTTTTTTTTTTTTTTTTTTTTTTTAAGAAGAATCTCCACATAAGATAAAAATGCAAGTAAGAAACGTAACAGTCCCTTTTTGTCCTGCTTTCAGCTGGGCTGTGGAATGTGCAGGGTTTTGTGGGTTTTATGTGGAATGTACACTGCATTTGCTGGCTGTGTCCTGCTGAACTTCCTGGAGAGGGTCAGCCCAGAGAACCACAGCTCTCCACGTGCATCATCCCTGTTCTCAGCCTCCCAGGACTTGGGATTTTCCCTGGGCACTGTGTTGTCCTCTTGTGACGCTGCGATGTGGGAAACTCCGGGAAAGGGAGAAGCCTCAGGCCTGTTTTATGACTGATGTTTTAAGCACAGTAAGATAGTTTTAATAGCCCAAAATAGGCACCCATTTTGCAACGTGATAGCCACAACTGAAAAGTCCAGATGGAGAAGAAGGGAATGGTTTTCCCTTCACACCACCATTTGTAGGATGAGGAAGAAATCTGGCACAGCAGGAGTTTGTTCAAGAGTCAAAAGGTCCCACGTTTTGATAGCCATTTCTGAGACACCTCATACACTTAATCACCATCAACTGTGTTCAGTTTGTTCTATTCACATTCAAAACCTCAGCTCTGATTAATTGTAACTAAAGATCTTTCAAGCCCGTTTTTAGAAGCTGCTGCAGAGGGGCTCCCTGTGCCCTGGGTTTGATCCTCTTTGTCAGGAGCAACTGAACATTTGTGGTTATTTTATGTATTTTTAAGCTTGGGAGCACAGCCTACAGAGGTTTTTTGACTGGCAGCCACTAGAGAGCACTCCGGGATTGTATGTTTTCCAAAGTAGGGTGTGGTGAACTACAGTGTGAAGTTAAATATGAAAGGCTTTTTTTCCCAGTTCTAAAGAATCCTAGTGTGTTTTGTACAAAATAGAGTATATTAAACCAAGATTTCATTTTACACAATTATTGTTATTCTTGGTGACTTCTTTCATCAACATCTAATTTTTAATTCTTACTCTGGAGAGTTTCACTGGGATCTGTAATGTAGCCATGAAAAGCCCCCTATAGCAGTTAATGTATGGGCTGTTTTTATTTTAATACTGAATGCTGATGCTCTTCTGCATTCTGTACACATAAGCTGGGAGGACTCTAGTTCTGCTTTAGCTTAGTCCTTAGAAAAGCTTTTCTCTCGAATCATTATGATTCAGCAAACGACGAAAGGAGTGGATCTGTGTAAAATACATAAGCAAACTCTGAGAAA